CAATTGCCTATCATATCTATGACAGGGGACGCCAACCTTTTGGACCTCAGGGACCACCAAACTCATAATTTTAAATCCCGCGGACCAGAGACCCTGGGAAAATCCCCCCAAAAGTCTGCAGAAAAATTCCACATCCCGTTTTCCTACCGATCGATCATTCTTTATTTGGGATCACAGGATACCGCCTCCAGCTCCGTTCTCAGGGGGAAAGAGGGGTGGGGGGAGAGAGAGACCTTTGGCTTCATGTGAGGAAAGCAGCAGAAGTCTTTTTTTTCTCCCCCAAACTCCACTAGAAATGAGTCTTTGTGAGATTTGTCACACCAGCGCAGCCTCTTGGAACAAGGATGCCTTGCAGGGTCCCAAAGACTCATTTCTGGTGGAGTTTGGAGGAGAGAAAGAAAAACTTTTGCTAGTTTCCTTGCGTGCAGCCAAAAGCAGAAGAAGAAAGAAGCCGAAAGGAGCAGCCCAATGGCCAGGCGAGGCGCATGGGGTGAGTGGGGCAAGTTCCCCCCCTCTGTCCTTTCCCCTCTCTCCTCACTACCTCATGTCGTTTGCAATGCAAGCGACGCAAGCCTTGTGTTCTCGTGGGGCATGTAGGGTGGCGCAGCCTTGTGTTCTCACGCAGCCTGGATTAATTGCTTTGGGGATGACATTTCTCTGCGGACCACTGAAATTTTTTCGCGGACCACCAGATGGTCCCCAGCCTACTGGTTGGCGACCACTGATCTATGAGATCCACTTACAGATCCAGATGCTAATCAGGCCAGCAGAGCCTGGAGGGGCTGGGAAGGTGACAGGACAGTCTGGGCTCTTTGAGGCAGCATTTGGTTGTATTTTGCCACCAATCTTTGTAAATCATTGTCTTCCAAATATTGGAGATCATAATGAAATATTAAAAAGACCTACTGAACATGGGACAGTTTATGTGTGGGCATGCAGCGCATGCATTTCATTAAAAAAAAAAAAGACTCCAGCAAAGGCAAAGTTTGCCTTTTATATGGCTTCCATCAACAGATAATCAGTTTCCAAATCAATGTGTGCGCCATGTGTGGAAGGAATTGTGAGTCCTCTTCATAGACTAAACTCTGCTGTACTCTTTCATTCCCTTTGTTAAAGCAGAATGTGTGTGAGAGTTTTGTGACTAGAATAGCAGCTGAATTTTACATACACACATCGGAACATCAACTCAAAATCGGGTTTTGGAAAGAGTTAAATCTGCATTTTGTCAGAAGGAAAGCACTTCTATTTTGAAGGCACACACAGCTTAGAGAAACTCAACATCTTGACAGAATCTGAAGCAGCTTTCAGACTTCAGCTAGCATGTGGTAGGCATGTGAATCTCCCCATCTCCAAATTAAAAAAAAATTACAATGCATCTGCAATGGGATTTGGGTGACAGTAGATCACAGCATATCATAGGACAGACACATCTTAATACCTCACTATATAAGGGACAAATTAATATTATAGTAATTCAACTACACTCTGACATTCACTAGGGGATGGAGCAAATCAAACTTAATGAAACAAACGTTCAAATTTTATTTGGACTGTGGTAAAATCCAATTTCAGCCCTACCATTTACCAGTAATGTTCCCTGCCAATAGTGTGGAAATTCACATCAACAATTCAGCTAGGCATTGGACATAAACAATAATTTTCAGCTTGCTCCAGATATAAAGCCCCCCACATTTTCAATCTACTTTTAAACATCTAAAATATATGCCTATCTTATATGTATGATAACAAACACCTATGCACAGGTATCCATTATAAAAGCATGCTAATTTATTTAACTCCACACTTACTGCTTCTCTATATGCAGAAGAAATTTTACTATTTCCTAAACCTGTTTCTTAAAGCTTTGATTTCTGGAACCAATTCTGAATTTGCCTACAAATGCTATGTAAGATTATACTTTTCCTAACCTAAATCAATGCAATATTTTGGTGATGTACTCCCAAATGGATCAGTTAAGCTAATATAATGTACAATATGACACACATCCATTTATATGCACACCAAGTGTCAAGTAATTAGCAAGGACTAATGAAGGAGACACTTATTTTTATGGTTTTTAATCTTGGAAGTTTAGAGGAGAAATTCTCAACAACGCATCTATAAGAGATAAAGGACCACTAGGGATTGCACTAGGGATCCTTTTACATTTAACATCTGTGAACATGTAACCAACTGTTAAATATATACAAAAATAATCCTATTATGACTGAACATATTAGCATCATCACTATTAAAGCTGGGCCAAAATATTCAATTTTTAAACTTTTGAATGACGAATCTTTATTTTGCAAACAAGATAAATAAGTGTGATAAAAGTATTGTGTTAGGCCAAGGATTCGTTCATCTAATATATATTCCCAGCTACTAAAAAATATTCCTTTTCTAAAAGGTGTTTACAGGAACAAGTATTAATAAAAGTAACGGGAAGAAACATACATATTCCCTTGGAGAGGCAGTGAAATGGCAGCTTCAATTTGCCATATCTGGAGCTCCATTAAAATCTCGCAAAATTGTCAATTATCTAATTCTTATAGGACCGTGAGAGTGCGTGTGCATGGCATCTGGACATATTCTTGCCAAAGTCAAAAATCTTGAACTGGCTCTAGATTGTTGTTTGAATGTCACCAAACTTCTGCTTATTAAGTAAGAGCTGGAGGTAAATTGAAACTGGGCACTCTTGATATTTGACAAATGTATTGATGAGTCTGTGTAATCCAGTTTTCATAATCAACTTTTATGGATTGATTATGGGGTTCAGATTTTAACTTGGTTGAAAATTCCTTGAGCAGATATTTTGCTTACTATCAAATGTGTGGTTTCCCCCCCCCCTCACCATAGGAACTGAGCCACAATTAAGGTTAACGATCAACCTTAAAGTTACTCTTGAATGCCCCAAAATGAACCATGGCAGCAAGCCTACATTCAGCCTCCATGCCACAAGGCCTCAAAGGAATAAACCTGAATCAAAATGGTGGGGGACAGGACAGGAATAATTGTGTCCCAAGCTGCAGCTTCCACATAGGCCTCCCCCTTAAGTACATAGTTTTTGCCAGTTATTATTTTTTGTTTTCAAATATTGTTTTTAAATTAATTCTTAATTTAAATTAATTTGATAATGAATAAAAACTTCAGATGCAGATTGTTTCCTGCCCAGTGTAAAAAAAAAGAGAAATTTCAGCCTATTCTCCAAAACCAAGTAAGTCGCAAACAAATAATCTTCCTAAAATTATATAACACCCCTCCCCTCAACACACTTAATACCTACAAACGAAGTGGAGGAGGCTTAGGAAGCAGAGAGGGTGGGGAAACCAGAAGAAAATAAGGAGGCTTGAGAAAAGCTAAGAAAATCAAGATATTCAATGAAGCTTCTCCTTCCCCTAAATTCCCCTGTGCTGATGTTTTGGGCTGTAACCACTCAATTAATGAACTTGCTTGCAATATTCCCGTGCCCAGTCTAGAGGAAATGCAATATGCACCAGGCAAAACGTCCATGCAGCTTTCCTGAAGTCTTAGCCGGCTGAAGGGCTACGCAGTGCGACCAAAAGCAAAAACCCCAAAGGATTCCCCCTAACAGAATACCCTCCGTGTTTTAATCATATTAGCCCAGTCTGTCTCCTAGTTCAAAGCAAGAGAGGCTTTCCTAGTATGCCCTTCAAGTATTCATAAATCCCTCATGCAGCTGACTTGTGATATTTTTTCTGAATGAGTCTTCATTTTCCCAGGGAATTCCATGCCTTAGCAAGAAGACACTGAAATTACAATTACCCAAACTCCCATGCTTCCTCTGGAATAGGAGCCATTCCATTCTGGCTCTCTCTGACGAACATGTACTAAGAAAAGAGAAAAATCATGATTCAGAGAATTCCCCTTCTCCAGATTGCAGAGAGAGAGAGAGAGAGAGAGAGAGAGACGCCGTGTTACTCTGCAAACTTAAGGAAGTCCTAGGTGTGAATTATCTTCTCCTTCCATTCAAAGGTTTGAAGCATTAAAGCAAACAGTAATAGCCTCCCTTCTTTTATTTAAGATTTTAGAACAAGCCCGGGACTGCCCTTCTACCCCAAAGGTGGCTGGCCACGTCAACTATTTAGTGCCAATGGTTAGGAAGCTATGAATTTTTAAAAACTCCTTTGAGCTCAAATGGAAGGGTTAGCACAGCTGGGAGACAGGGATTTCCGATGCTGCAAAGAGACTTTTGAAGGCAACAGCTTCCATTCCTCTGGAGATCCCGGGCAAGAAACATGTGCGGCTCCTTGATCACAGTGCCAAAGTGAAAGAAAGTGCCGTGGCCCTGCTGGGGAGGGTGCTGTGGGCATCGCAAGCCCCCCCCTCCCTTGAGAGAAGTTAAGGAACTAGACTCACATTGCAGTGAGATGCTTCAGCTAAGGGGAGACATGCCTGGCAAAACCAAAGCTGGCTGGAAATTGGGTTGCAGCACTTCGGAGGGCCAAGTTGAGACAGACAGATCCGTCTTTTAGGTTATTCACATGTCTACATACAAAACAGCCACATCCAGACCACCCTGGAAGCATAAAATTTGACTGCAACAAAAAAAGGCAGCGGAAAGAGAGCAAGAGCGAGATAGCCCACATGCATGGCATCTGCTGGCAGAAACCAGGCTTTAAACACATTCTAAACGGGGCTTCCCTGGTAACACAAACAGGTACACACTCCAGATATACAACACAGCCACCTATTGTCTTAATGGGGGCGGGGGAGGTAAAGTTGAACAGTGCTGCACTCTCCCCCCCCCCCCACTTACAAGCTCAGAGAAGTGTCATCTCCTTGATCTTGAGCTGGCTGCCAAGTCAGCCCTACTGCAGCCAGACAGCGCACAGGTGTTACCCTGGAGCCCATCTCCAACCTGTGAGCGAGTTAGACCTGCCTTTGGGGAGCCCGCGGTAGCGGCGACGGAAGCCCTGATCTTTTAGCCCTGGGGAGGCCAACCACGTGTGAACAGGAGGCACAAAGAGGCGACTTACCTGCTGGAGGTAGAGGAAGGCTGGGGGACAAGGGAGAGAGTGCGGGAGCAAGGCTGAGTTGGAGACCAGGAGGCAGCCTGAGTTAGCCATCGAGCAGAGCATGGGTCGCCAGCAAACCCAGGAGCGGTGATGTTGGCAGCTCCTTCTGCTTCTTCTCTTCACAGTACTTGCTTTTTCTCCGTTTTTGCCCCCACCCCCACCCCTTTGGCAGCTCCCTCGTGTGGAGCTATTTAAGAGGGCTCCATGAGAGGAGCTGCCTTCTGTGTCCTCGGCTCAAACAACGAAGGAGCAGCGTGCCGGCTGAGAGTCGGTGCCATTAGACGAAGCGGCTGAGCGAGCGCATGGTCTGCAAAGGGTGTGTGTGTGCGTGTGTGTGTGTGTGTGCGCGCGTGTGCGCGCGTGGGGGTAGGGGGAAGAAAGAGAGGGCTGGGAGGCGGGGGAGTCCCCTGTGCATTCAGATATCAAACAGCTCGCTAGGAAACCAAGAAAATCCGGAACAGCTGAGCCTGCACTTAACCCTTCACCTGCTGCAGCTCAGCTTCTTGCCCTGCGATAAATAGGCCAGTAAGGAAGCTTCGCTTCGCTTCGCCAATACGGTAAGGGTGGGGTACCTAACTCAGCTTTGTTGCCTACTCGGGCATCACCCCAGAGAAAGTGGCCGAGATCTTCGGAGCACTTCTTCCAGAGATAATAATGACCCGGGCGGCATACCGACTTCCAAAAGCTTCTTCCTTCCCTCCTTCCTACCTCTCTCCCAATCTCTAGGGCCCAGGTAGATAGTTGAAGAAAGTTAAGACTTGTACCGATTAAGGGACATGAGAACGAAAGGCAAGTATAGTGTGGCCGAATGAGATTTAAAATGGAGGGGGTGGGGGAACTCTTTGGCTTGTGAGTCTGGATAAAGTAGAGACTTCATATTCCCTTTTTCCTTGAAAAGAGAACCAGGATCTGTTTAAGACCGTGATCTTATCAAAGGAAATAGAAAAGGCCGAGATATTTCTGTAACATGGTTCAGGGCTCTGCCTGTATCAAACTCAAACATACATACAGGCTCTCTGCCTGACACAAGTTGAATCCAGAATGCTGGTCACAGACAGCATCTTCCATCTCACAATGGCTCCTGACGCTGTAATGCAATGTATAAGGGAGCCTGCCAGAACCATCTTTTTTGATGCAGGTTCTGTTGGACAGGGTTCTTGCACTTTTGGATCTGCAGCAAAATGCAAAGCTTCAGCATACACACGTTGTAACAGTAATGGAAGATTCTACCCCCAGTAGCAGCCCTCTCTTTGGTTAAGTTTCCAGTTATTTCCAACTTTATACCCTTCTTGCCCAACAGTTAACATTTAGATAGATAATTCTTTGTAGGGAGAGTTCCATCATACAAACAAATTTTGTGTTCTCATTCAGCCGGCTTCTCATAAATTCCATGCTTAAATAGGAATTTAAATACCTCTGCATTAAAAAAAAAAAACCCAGTAACACTCCTTTGCCATTGGACAGGTTTTTTACAGACTACCAACACACTACTCCGAAGTTGCAAATAAATATCTATTTTCCTGGATCATTTTTTTTTATCATGCCTTTATAGTTGCACACCTATTACTAGTGAATTCAATTCTGAGAAATTCCTGCTGTGAAATCTTTGCTATTGATCAGTGCCTTCACAGTAAACTTCAGAAGGGTCGTTTCAATAGGAAAGGGTAGAAAAATAAATCAAGTGAAAGTTATAAGCGAGGGTATCCTTGGATCAGACACTGAGGTATCTTGCCCTTTTGAAAGCTGATAAACAGAAACCATTTTTTTTTAACCCATTTGCTTAGGAGCGGCAGTTATTTCAATTATGTAATGAAAAGATTCTATCCAGGATAATGGATCCATAGCCATCATCATACTCCTGTTATATCAGTATATTGGCAAATGGAACATAACCCACAGCTTGCTAATGTTGACACATGATCCCACCAAATCTAAATAATATAGCTTGACTTCTTAAAAAAAAAGTTCAACCAAACAAGGAAGTTTATCACATTCTTTTACAAATGCCCAGGTTCACACACTGTGGAGGCTCCAGGAAAAGAAAACTTTGCAGCAACTATCAGTTGTAAGGCCCGGTTATATAGCTAATCGCCTGCTTCTCAAGGGCTTGTTGAAGACTTGCTCCATGGAGTTCCTGCAGACCTTAGGAAAACTGGGGATGCCTCAGCATTTTACTGACCTTTGATGATCTCACAAATTAAGCAGGACTAGTTTATACTTGGATGGGAGATTGCTTGGGAATGCCAGAGCAATAGCCTAGTCTGAGAAGAAGAAAAATAATAACAATCCCAGAAGAAGCCACTAGCAAATTACTACTGTAACGCTGCCAGAAATCTCTGCATGGATGCAGTCACCAGGAATAAACTCAACTTAAAGGAGTCTGGAAAATGATCCATTTTTTAGACCTGCCTGTAAAGGCCACTTGGGGCTTCAGCTTAAGGCTGATTATCTGCAGGGCCCAGTTTAAATCTTCTGGCCAGCTGCAAAGCCACCTGTATCCAGCTTCCTTGTGCAGCATAAACGTGAATCCAGTATTCAGTTCAGCCAGAACGTGGGGTACGCGGCAATTGGGCTGCCTTCCAAGGCTCCAGGCAGAATCCTCCCTGCCAGGCAGAGATGCTTCTAAGTGAGTTTTATTAGGTGATTCTTCCTGCTGCAGCAGCCATCTGAAAAATGCAGAGTATAAAATTGGGGACTTAAATTATTTTCAGATCTGATTCCCATACAGATGCACAATCCATACTCTCTGACCAAGGAAGGAGAAGGGCGTTGTTTCTTCTTTTCGCTGAACTACAAGAGTCCCGAGAAAACACGATCCTTTCCTTTGAGGGCTCATTCTAAGCCCTACAGACCCTGGCAAAAATACACACGGTGGCTTTTGAGCAAACTGGGTGTAGGGCAGGGGTGGGATTCAAATTTTTTAACAACCGGTTCAGTGGGTGTGGCTTAGTTGGTGGGCGTGGCTTGGTGGTCATGTGACTGGGTGTGGCCAACTCAACATCACTCACATCGAGGCACGCATCTCCTCGCCTGGCCTCTCATGACTGTGGGGATGCTGCAACAGTCGTAAGTGTGAAAAATGGTCTTAAGTCACTTTTTTTCGGTGCCATTGTAACTTTGAATGATTACTCCACACAAGCAAAGTACCAGCAAAGGAGGGGAAAAAAACTCCAGAGAAGTTCCTGAGGCAGGAAGTCTAGTCCTGCCAAGAATGTAATAAGGGTTAATGGAGAGGCAGTTTCTGTAAGCAACACCAGAATATTTCCTTCCTGCCTTCCTTACAGGATTAGGCCAGTAATTTCTTCTAACAACCGGTTCTCCAAACTGCTTAGAATGTTAACAACTGGTTTTAGAGAATAGGTGTGAACTGGTAGAATCCCACCCCTGGTGTAGGGACTTATAGATCGAATGAAGCAATAGAAGCTGCTGTGAGCTTTTGGCATTTTCCCAACCGTGAGGACAATTAACCAGCTTGCCTTCAGAAGTTGTGGGTGCTTCATCCCTGGAGGGTTTTTTTAAAGAAGAGACTGGACAGTCACTTGTCTGAAATGGTATAGGGATGTGATGGTGAACCTATGGTGCGTGTGCCGGAAGTGGCATGCAGAGCCGTATCTGCCAGCATGTGAGAGGTCGCCCAGAACAGCCTCACTGTACATGCATGCGCGTGCCCCCTGCCAGCCAGCTGATTGTCAGGTATTTGCCATGCATGCATGAGGGAGATGCACAGGGGAGACACACGCGCATGCGCAGAGGGTGAGGTGGGTACGGGGGGGTGTCATATGCATATGTGCAGAGGTGCGCAGCACGGGGGTTGCACGCATGTGCAGAGGTGCATGACATTTGGGGGAGTCACGCATGCGCAGAGGTGCATGGTGCATTGCATTATGGGTGGAGGCATGTGTGTGCTCGCACTTTTGGCACGTGACAAGAAAAAGGTTAGCCATCACGGGTATAGGGTCTCCTCTTTGAGCAGGGGGCTGGATTAGAAGACCTCTAAGGTGCCTCCCAGCACTATTCTGATCCTGATTCCCAGGAAATGATGCAAAATAGCAGCTATTCAGGAGAGAGGCCCCAGGCTCTTGAGCAGCATCCGTGGTCAGGGCAATAGAAGACAATCAGAGATGTATGGATGTCGACTGGGGTCTCTCAATAAAAAGGATCTCTGGCAAGAGCCATAGCAAGAAAAAGGGGTGGTTACCCATTTTGAGAACAGATGGGGATCAGACCAATGCTTCTTTAAAAAGGGTTGGCTAGTTGGGTCACATGTCTCCTGTTGTCCCCATACAATTAACCCCGACAGCAAAACAGGGACTCTTCTCTGCCATGTTCTTTGGGGGGCGGGGGGGAACCTAATCTTATTTTTAATCAACATCCCATGCAAACTAATCAGCTAGAAACAAATTCTGAATGAGATGCCTCAAAGGATGCCGTAATATATTAAAAAGAAATCTACCGGGTTTCCCAAGAAGAGGGAACATGTTTACTAATGCTCAGTAACAGCTTTGTGTGCACACACACACACACACACACACACACACACACACTGCTGATGAATAGAAGGCAGATGTTATAGAAAGATACTGCTAAGTGTAGTATTTGTTTTAATATTTCTTTTTTTATTATAAGATTACCCGCCCCCCCCCCAAAAAAACAACAATATCCCACACAGCACCAGAATAGAAAAGATAGCCTGCAGAAAAGGCAATATTAAAAACAATTAACAAACCACATGAAAATTAAACCTGAAACCAATAAATAAATGAAAAAAGGGCCCTTCCCCAAACTTTCTTAAGATTGTAACAAAACTTAACAAATCACAACACTATACCTCTAAAATATAGGTTAAATGTATAAATGTCACGGGTTTACAAAGGATATCTTGTAATACAATGCAATAATCAAATGTAGAAGTATATACTACTACCTAGAAATATCACTGTATTATTATAAAATTTCATGAAATCTATTCCAGAGCAGAACATATTGCTTCATTTTCTGATTAGTTGAAAATATTACTTTTTCCAGAATAGATAAATTACACGAAGAGCCAATCCTTAATGCCTAGAAAAATACCATTTCCCTCATTCCTCAATATAATTCTTTTTGCCA